TCATGCCTGTTCTTACTTGTGTTCCTCTTGAAAGGTCCTCCGTCGTCTTATCACCGACGAGATCGCCAAGCAAGCGGCCAGTATGTGGTTGCAGGCGACCATTGGGGCGGCAGCGGCAACGGCGATGTTCCCGGTATGGATAATCAAATACATGACAGACTTGGATAACACATGGCTGGTAAGCGAGAGGTCTCTGGTTCGATCCCCAGCGAGGGTACTTTTTTTCCATTTAGGTTGTGCGGGATCGATCATCAGTAGCAGGAGAGGTCTTGGCTTCCGCCATAATGGATTCAAATTGCGTGGGGAACCGTCCGGTCACCTTAGTCGGCATCAGCAACGGTGCGCGCGTCATATTCAAATGTTTAGAGATTTTGTAAGTGACTAGGAATCAGGATGGGCCGATGGTGGCATTGGACCTCTTTCTGTGTCGTTGATTCAGCTGAGCTCAGGAATGAAGTCATCGATCATATAAGTTTGCACGTGAATTCGGGTGGAGATGTGCGAAAACATAGAAGAATCTCCCTAAATTTCCTCAGAGTTTCATATCGGAATTTTCATATCATCGCCAACAAACGTACTTGACTACGCATATGCACATGACATATGACATATGACTACTAATGCATATTTTCTAACACTAGGATGCTGCTTATCGTTAATGTAGGTACAGCAAGGGGTACTTCAATGTCGTTCAAAACGTTGTTCTGCTCGGCGCTCCGATAGCCGTGACTTTCGACGCGCCTGCCGTAGGATCTGACCATAAAAAATCATGGCGCAGGTGAGAAACAATATTATTATTCGTTAGTGCGGAAGACTATTTTAGGGCGCGCGCTGTTGTAGCAGGAAGGTTCATCAACGGCTACACTAGCAGTGATTGGGTATTAGGATTCCTGTATCGGTATATGGAATGGGGAGTTAAAGTGGCGGGGCTGAGCGCTGCTCGGGGCATCTCTGGTGTGGAGAATATAGACCTGGGAAAGTTGGTCGAACGGCACGACCACTACCCTGAATATTTCACCGAGATCATGGCGAATCTGGACATTCTCGAGTGAGTGT